ATCTCCTACCGTAAATATATCAAAACTTAATGTTTGATTAGTAACATGCATTGCTAAGAACTTAATTTGAACAACTTTAAAGATGATTTTCTCAATATTTAGATTTTTTTGCACCCTCAGATTCCAGATTTTCAAATAGTTGTATCTCAGCCAAATATTGTGCGATCCTAACAAACCATACATCAATGGAAAGATTATAATTCAGCTTTCAGCTGATGCATACATCTCAATTTCACAAAATTTACACTTGTGACTGGTTTTGTGCTCCAGGGTCACAAATGGTCCTGAAAAAAAGTCACACTTGTACTTTTCACAATAAAAAATGACCACACTGGAAACAAATACCATCTAGTGGAAACATTTGGTACTGCGCTCAAACAAAATCTTACTGAAAGCTCATTTTTTGTGATATCAAACAATACATTTGTTTTAAACACGTTTTGGGAAGTTATTTCATACAAAATTTGAAAAACAGTATTTTTCATAACAATAAACTTCTGAGACTTTTTTTATTTAAATTTTTTCTGGTCAATAGGCAATAAATTGATAATAACTACTGTAGAAATATTACGTAGTGCCATAAAACCCCCTACAAATACAAAATATTAAATAAAAAAAACATTATTAAACTAAAAAACACTGTATATTAATTTTATTGTAATCAATAAACTGGTTGTTTTTGTCCGCCGCGCGAGCATGCTGTACCTCCTCCAGAAGCGCGTGAGCTTTAGCCGGCGGCAGCAGCCTCAGTCCAGCCGTGGCTCTGAACAGCACCGGCGTTCTCTTCCACTCCACCGGAGGAACCGTCTTCTTCGCCACACGCAGCAGCTGACGCACCGTATGACCGGCCTGAGAGCAGAAACATCACTGACTGCACAAACGCACGCTTACAGCACGTCTGCAGATCACTCATAAGCCCCTAATAACTCACAATCTCCGGGATGTCTGCGAACGCAGAGAGACCAGGCTTCATCGAGTGGAATATCTCATTATCCAGCACCGGCAGTCCGTCTGAGGACAGAACAACAGACGTCAGAAAACAGTCTAGTGATTCTCATTACTGGAACTATTACTGTAACATATTTTATTTAAATCAGCATCAATTTGCAGGACAATAAACACTTTTATGTGTGAGTGTGTATATATATATATATATATATATATATACACACATAAGGTATATATACATATACATATATATACCTAGATACATACATACATATATATATATATATATACTGTATATGCAGTAGTCAACATTTGAAGTGGATCAAAAAATGTTCATCAAAGACAAGAACAGGTATTGCTTTTGTTTTACAACTTTGATGAAAGGTTTTGATCCACTTCAAATGTTGACTGCTATATAATACGATAAATATCTTATTAAAGTCATTAGAATCAGATTATTTTGCATTACAGTAATGCAATTTAGAGAGAACATGTGGATGTAAAAATCTTAAAAACGTAATTTTATTTATAGGAAAATAACTTGATATTTTTTCTTTGGATTATAATTAATGCAGTACATTTTTTTGATTTATCTACATAAAAATGCTATCTACATAATCTACATCTACATAAATTGCAGTTCAACAAATACTACTAGTAGTAGTAGTATATATTTATTTAATGCCATGTCAGCATCTTAGGCTATTTTCAATAAAACAAATACAATAAAAACCAGCAAACAAACAAACTCTTCATTTTTTATATTAACATATGATAAAAATTCTACAACTTTTTCTGGCAAAATTACACTAAATAACTCTTTAAGTGAGTTCACTTCAGAAAAGAGTTTTCTGCATACATTAAAAGCGGGACAGTCCAACAAATACTACTATGATGTATAAATATTTTTCAATTTAAAAACTAATAATTTTCACATTGAAGTCATTAGAATCAGATTATTTTTCATTACAGTAAACAGATTTAGAGAGAAATGTGCCTAATTATCACAAAAATATTTATGCTCCTAAAAAGGCTCAATAATTAGGCTGTAATTAGAGAAATATATTTTTGACTTAAATCAGCACAGATTTGCCATAACATAAATACAGCAATGACGTATAAGTATTTTACAAATTAAATAAAAAATTATTCTCACATTAAAGTCATTTAAATCAGATTATTTTGCATTACAGTAACAAGATTTACAGAGAAAGTGTGTTACATTTCTATAAATATATTTTAGAAATAATTCCTAAACAGGCTTAATTTTATTTATGTTAAAATAATATATTAGTTTTCTTTTATTTTGATATATAATATTGTTATATTTTGAATTAGTTTCATTTTTTAATTTTCCAATTTCATTTTAATTTTAATAATTTTGTTGTGTTTTGTCACTTTTTTAAAAATTAACTCTATATAGTTTTTTATTTAATTTGTATTTCAGCTTTAGTTATAGATATTTTAGTGCATCATATTAAAGCAAATAAGAAGAAATGTTTCCTTGTCAATTAGTTGAAATAAAATAAAATAAATGCTTTTAATATTTTATTTCAGTTAACAAAGATATTTGAACGGTTTTAATTAAATACAATAACCCTGCAGTGTTTTAGTTAGTTATGAATACATCAGGTTTATTTCTGAAGTTACTACATAACTACAAATCTGGCTTTCACTGTATGACTGGTTATATTTCAGTGGGTTCAGACCATGTGATGGGTTTCAATCCCTCAATGCCCTGCTGTCTATGTAGTGCGGGACAGCTCTCACCCGGCTCTTTCTGGATGAAGGTGTAGACGTGGATGCGTGTGCCGGTGCTGCCCGCGTCAAACATGATGCTGTAGAAGATCCTGCTGGCGTTGGCCGGGCGACTGAGGGACGGCAGAGCGTTTCCAAACCTCTCGGAGAAATCCACAGCATTCAGACCATTCCTCTGAGAGGAAGACGCCGCTGCGAGAAGCGTCCAGACGGCCAGAAGATACCAAACCCTGAGCGACGCAGACATCCTTAGACTGAAGACAGAGCAGAGCAGACGCGGTTTATATACCACAGACACTCCCAGCAACCAGCCATATCAGCAAAACATCATCATTAGCCCTCAAGCATCCTTCGGGACTAATTTGGGCAAAAATATTATCATTATTTTAAATAGTTTCCTTAATGTGAGCGGTACAAAACTTGGCTGCTATTCCTAAATTTGCCATTTGAACACACACACATACACACACATATACACACACACACACACAAAACTGACTCGATTCAACAAAGTTAGGTGGTTGAAAAAACTCCTTAATTTGTCCTTCATGGACAAAAGTGGGCACCCATTGGAAATGAATGGGAAATACTCAAATTGAGAGTATCAACACTATACACACTCTCACGCACGCGCACACTCACACACTATACACACTCTCACGCACGCACGCGCACACTCACTCACTCAAACAAACAAACACACACTCACTCACACACTATACATTACACACACACTATACACACTCTCACGCGCACACACACACACACACAAATACACACACAAACAAACAAACACACACTCAAACAAACACACACACACACACTTCAAAGTCCTACTGTCAGATTTGTTGATGCTTCCAAACAATAAATGTCTGGATTCTGTTTTTTAAGAAATAAATGATTACTCTGTCTCCTACTTTGTCTTTTCCTTAGAGCATGGTCAGATTTTTACAGTTTTAACTTGTGATAAACGTAAGAGGTTAAGTTCGTTACAACAATGGTTTTAGATGTCAGCCTATATGCAGCCATATAGGGGCTATTGATATTTTTTATTTTATTATGCCATCATATTTCACCAACATTTTACGTTTTGGCTGTCTGAACTTACTGATTTTTTATCTTTATTTTTTTTACTTAAGTAAAAGAAATATTAAATATAACATAAAAATAAGCATATTTTACATAAAATATGGTACTCTTAGAGGTAAATAAATAAATAAAAACACCATAAAAATTGCATAAATTTATGTTTTTATTTTATCGAAGATAGTGATATGACATCTATTTTTAAAAAAACTAGGATTAGACCTTCGTGCCCAAATTTGTCCAAGAAGGACAGATTAAGGGCTGCTATACGAAGGATGCTTGAGGGTTAAACAATTATACCAGTTATTGGTTAACATCTTTCATCTCCAAATATGACATTGCCCTTGAGGAGCACTTCGCATATGATCTGTCAGCAAATCAGCAGTTTTTTTGTCTGATGAAGCCTCAAGTGCAGGACTGAACATGTGCATAAACAATATCAAGCCGCTGCTGAAGCATGGAGTGATCACACAAACACACACACACACACACACACACACAGACACAGACAC